AGAAGAAATTTATTTCATAAGCTTAAACAGAATTAAAAAAAAAAACATAGAAAGAATACAAACCAGTTGAATTTGAACTCCTGAATTTAAAAAAAAAACAAAATGGTTGTTCCTCTTTTGTTTAATTTCAGACAAAAATAGAATTTAATGTACAGGTTAATTGGTCTGTTGTGAAATTCTTAAGAAGGTGATGGAATAATGATAAGTTTATTGCTATCATCCTTAGATACGTAAAATGTGTTTGGTTTAATCCTTAAAATTCAATATCTTACCGCTACGTAGCTGCAAAATATTTTTTACGATAATGTAGATAATGTGATTAAAAAAATCCATTTTCAAAACAGTCTGTACGAGTTCAGTTTACAGAATTCGTTGGAGTTTCATTGGAATCTGGATAAAATTTTATGTGAAGTGCTGTATGACAGTAATTCAGCATATGATTATTAATTAAAGGGTGACAAATGTCACCAAGAAAAATCAATATTCAAACAAGACTGGAGTCAAAGAAATATATTGATCCCAGCGACAGCTGAAACAGATTTATTGAAAACTATAGAAATTTTTTAACCAACTCGAACGCACCATATACTTTTTCAATACATTACTCACGACCCATATTTTTAAAAGGAATAGCCAATTTGTCAGTCTTTTTAAATGAGGTATGACGGCTATATCTCATTAATTGGAATCCTTGTCTTTGATAAGCCCACTGGAAGGAGCGTTTGATTCGGTGCCCGAATGCTTAGCTAGATGTCATAAATACCAAGAGGTTCTTCTTACAAGTCTCAGAATTCTGATATTCGCATCTGCACACAAGATCGTGGAAATACCTCAAAATGGTAAGTTTCACGGCGATAACTGTTCTTATACCTAAAATTTGTACCTTCAAATGTAATATTTCGTCTTTATCACTAATTATAAAACAAAAATAGGCAATGCAATTGATGATATATTTTCGCATCATTTACTTATAATTTTTAAAATAACTTTGAGTTTGTTCTTAATATGATGATTTTATCGATGATGATGACGACGATGATGATAATGATGATCACAGCGATGAAAATATAATTCTACAGCTAATCCTTCACTTTAGGGAAATTTATAAAGTGTGTGAATTTACATATATTCCATTCAGTGTAATTAAATATTTGCTTAAGATTTTAATGCATTATGATCATGGTGTATTCACACACTATTCACGCTGCTAAAAACAAACATTTTAAAAAGCTCGATGAATACAAGGACATTATGTTTTTTTTTGCAAATGGGATATGGATGTGCAAATATTAAACAATAAAAGAAGAAGTTCTGGCAATATTTGTCAGACATATTTTTAAGCCAACAAATTTAAAAGAAGCATATTACACTTCTCAACAATTCATGTCTCAGACAAGACGAGACTGTTTATTTAACAGCGTAAACTACGTAAGCGATTTGCATTTAAAATGCATCGTTTAAAAATAAAATACAATGATTCAAATTACCCTAGGAGATTGTACCAAACGGGCATACTTTCCAAATCTTGAGGTAACATAAATTTTCATTCTAATCTAAGGATATTTTCTTAATTAATGTGCATGTATTTAATGTAAGAAAAATTCTTTTTGTGTATTGCCAATGATGACAGTAGATAAAGGATTGAATATTATTATGTTTCGCTTTAATTAAAATTATGATTTTCTTTCTGTTGTTTCTTTTGATCATTCGTTTTCAAAAAGGAAGGGTATGATCCCATGAATTCGAGAATTATCCGATCGAATTTTGTTTTTATTTATGAAGATAAAGAAAAGGATAGATATATGATTCAAGTGGATAAGTCAGGGTTATCCTCGGTCAAGTGTAAAATTCACCAGAAGTATGATCGTTTTAGCACAGGTTCATGTATATAATTACCGATTTAAATCAATTTAAATGAATACACAAACAATTCTAGATTACAGTTGATTAAACATACTTTTTCAGGGCACAACAGTTGATCTCAAGTCAACAATAGTAAATAATTTAGATTTTGAATTTAAGCCGCAATGTAATGTATATCTGATCTATGACTCCGAGGCAATTCGGGATAAGTTGCCACGCGCGCTCCTGTAAGTTTCGAACACGTGTGAATAGAATTGTCAAAAACTGATTGGAGATGTCAAAGATCCTGGAACTGATATCATCTCGATAAGTAATTCCATTTAAATAATGTCGGAATTCTTTTTAAACAATGGCTTTACAACTAATGCACACATGCCTAAATGAATAATTAATTCATTAATTAATTCATAAAGCTGACTCATTTTTTGCTTAGGTGTGATTTATGAATACACACACAAATCAAAGAAAGTGCATCGAGTATTTAAAGATTAGCCCACGTAAATTGCACATTATGCAGAATGAATTTTGTTGGAAAGATTACGCCTTTAGGGTTTTAAAAGCTAATTCGCTAATTGAGATTAATATAAAAAGCGAACCGTAATTAAGCATTTTTTAGATTAATTTACTTCTTACAATGAATAAATGGTGGTGGCACTCTCTTTCCTTAATACAACAAGAAATCTTAAAGTAAGTAGTTGTTTTTAAAAGTTCACATCTTCATTTGACTTTCGAAAAACTTGAATATTAATGCTAATTGGGAAAATAAAAAATTGGTGGGTTTTCCTAATCAGGTAACTGAGACAATCACCCTTCAAAGTATATCAAGATATAATGTTTTCAGTGGAGGCGAAGGAATATTTGGTTGTATGTGAAAAAAACTTTTCGTGTCCAAATGAAATCAGTGGTTCTTTTTCGTCACTAAAAAAAAAAAAGTTTTCCTTTATTTATAAAGTCGTGTGTGAAGGTAAGTGAGAGAGGTAGTGATTTTGGTCGAGAAACCGAGAATGAAGGTGTGTTTCAAAATGAATGGAGTGAGTTGTAATCACCAAGACGAAACACACTGACGGTTTAATGATAATCATGCACTTATCTATTAAAACAGCAAGAAAAAATTATTCAATAAAAGGTCTAAAGTTCTTTTTACAAAAAAAAAAAAAAAAAAAAAAAAAAAAAAAAAAAAAAAGATTAATAAGTACAAACATTAAGGTTTTATAAATCATGTTCACTTTTTTCATCTGCGTCACAAAATCTAACGAATTTGAAATGCGAGCTAAAATATTTATTTAACAACTTCTTTCAAATGTGTTTCTCTTAAAATGAAATCAATTACTCCTTAGTTGGTGTTCAAAATCGATTTCCTTCTTTGCCATTGTTACATTTCATACAGCACCGCTACCGGAAGTGAAAGAGAGATCACCACAACGCAGACCTTTCAATGGAATTTCTCAAATTGGTGTCAGAATTCGTTTTCTCAAACCGTAGAAACTCTTTATCTAAGGACCGCTCTGATGCGAATCAATATACATTCGTTTCGGTATTATTTCAAAGGACCATGGCATTAGTTACGGAAATGAACCAATTCTACAGATTTCTTTACGCATTATTCTTAGTTGAAATTATCAATTTTCCGATATCTTTCAGACGATTCTTATATCCGTATTTTGGGCAAATTTAGAACATTTTTTTCTTTTAAAAATATAGATTGTTTTTTTCTGTAATGAACACCAATTATTAGGACAATTTATGGTTCCTGATTTAAATTTCACTAATGTATGTTTACTCTTAAAAGACAAACAATTAATAATACAGGTATTTATCGGAAGTACTTACTCATATATTTTTTCTATCGACGAAGTCGCGAGAAACGATCTTTAAATTTTATAATTATCAGATTAGAAACGTTTTGAACATATGCAGATAATACACAGAATGTATTTACGTTAAATACAAATGACTAATTATTTGCTCGATCAACTTTAACAGTTCACGATTGAAAAACCTGAATGAACCCCCAATCTTTTTTTACAATAGAAAACATTCGAATGAATAGGTTCCTCGACTAAGCGGAATCTAAGAGGGTACCAAAAGGGTTTTGTAATTAAACAGGTGGGTGAAATCACAATTAATAACTTTAATACACTTTCATTATTAGTTCAGAAAAATACCGTTTATAAACAAGTGTTTGCATTTTTTTTTAAATATCCACATAATCGTTTGTCTAGTGGTTTTTGACCCTCAAAAAAAGAATACTTATTAAACTTAAAAGAACTTAATATATTTCGATTGCAAAAATTGACGAATTCCCATTTGCTTACTGTGACATCCATAACACGTGCCTCTATGCAAAATGAGAAACAACTGTATTCAATCTTATAAATATTCAGGTAATTTCATATTGCGATCCTTTTCTACGTAACATTTACATATATATATATATATATATATATATATATATATATATATATATATATATATATATATATATATATATATATATATATATATATATATATATATCTAGCACAACCATTAGGCCTAAATCAAAAGCGAATTCACCACTCGAATGGATCAGCAGGGAGGAACGTTGTTAACCCATCATTTGCGCTCAAAATATATGATTTTATTAAATTTTTTTGTTGTTGAAAGAAATGGTATTATACTAATAATTTATAAGGTTCAAGGTTTTTTTTGCCACTTCGATTAAGGCCATATCTGATGACAACGCTGTCTGAGAAGTGTGTTTTTTCTAATAATGGGACTTAAACATGTATTTGATAATTATAAAAATTGCTTAAACAAATGATGTTGAAGTAATTATTTACAACAGACTCGAAAGTTTTCAATTTTTGTGTTTTACAAAACTCCAGGTCTGAATTTTTGGCAGCGAGTGCAGTTATTTGGACACGTTATGAATTAACCCTCTCTACGTGATGAATCGGGTGATACTTTATTAATTATTAATTAAAAATGTTATAGAATGATTTTTCTCCCACACGTTTTGTTTTAAGAAAGATTATCAATAACGTAATAGATGAATGCTTGATTTCCTTGGAGAATTTTTTTTTGTCTACTTTCATGCATTTTTCATGAGTTGTCACTAGCATGTCAACTTCGATGCATTTGAACTGTCTTTCAACTTTGTCCGTTAATACCTTGCTAGATCTTTAAATGTCGATTTAAATTTCCCCCCTGTCGGGACCTCGATGGGTTTACTTTGCGTTAAGGAAATATTTGTATGAGCATTACCAGGCATTACTGAATGCAATTTGATCTGACATAAGGAACTTTTAGTGACAATATCAACTCCAGTGGCTTATGTGTCTCAGCCCCGCGATTACAATAACACTGATTCACTGGTTAGCGACACCAGCGTTATTGTTTTTGGTAGATGTCGTAAACAGTCTTAACGACAAACGTCATCCAAGAAAGCGACTAGTCGATTCTTTAAAACTGGAATATTCTGTACTATCCCATAAAATGTGTTGATGACTTAAAAAGAAAAGACAGAAAAGTCATGTGTTATATTTGAGGTGTTTCAGTGGATGAATACAGTGCGCTTCCAGAAAATTTTCGAAGACTAATGATGGATATATATGTATTTACGCAGGGTTAGAATTATAGAATAAATATAATCAAAGCAAGTTTTTGAAACCAATTGGACAATGCCGGTAGCAATTGCACGGAATACAAACACAACCGCCAAAAAAACGACCATCTCCTGAGTGAGTCTCTCTCTCTCTCTCTCTCTCTCTCTCTCTCTCATTTATGAAAGATTTTTCTTATATTCATTTATTATTATGTCGATTTTGTCGTATCGAAATAATTATTAATTAAAATAGAAAGCGTCTGATTTAAATAATCATTTAAACGAAAAAAGTGGGTGATCGATATGACAAATTGGTTATGACAATACCAGAAAACTGGAGTTATAAATTCTAGTACGTTTAAAAATCGCTTTAAGCTACGTATAAGAACGTGCCCAAACTAATGCATAGGTCAGTGCCATGAAATGTATCAACACCGCAAGTAATCATTAAGGACATCGAAATTTGGGTGTTTAATCTATTTGACACATCCGTTAACTGTATACAATGAAATATGGTGTTTCAGAAGCCAACAAGCCTTAATATGACCTGCCAATATGCATCTCATTTATCGCCGGACTTCTAACATTTAACTCGTATCGAACGAGAGAAAAGTCGATTTTTCTATTAATTAAAGGGCCAATTTCAGCTCTCAGCAAAATTGGTCTTTTTTTCAAGTGAGTGGATTTCCCGGGTAGTTTTTCATTTGTTCCTTTTTTTTCATTTCAGTTATCAGATATGTTTTCTAATAATTAGCATGAAACGAGATCTTTATAACTACTGAAAAAATATGCCTCTGTTTGTGTGTGACAACACATCGACAACTGACTACTTTAAATGGAATTGAGACACAAACTTTGGGGAAAATAATATGTTTGAGATCATTAAGCTGATTATGTTTTTTGCAGTACATGAAAAATTACCAAAAAATATCAAACAATTTTAATTGCTGTTCAAGAGTAGCCATGTTTGATTATACATTTTTTATTAATTGATGCAACTTTTAAAGAGCCAATGATGTATATTTGAAAAGAATAATGATGGATATATATTTAGATAAATAACCAACATTTGTCTTCGATTGGAAAATTGATGTAATTATTAAAGATAATATCACTCTCCCATGTCGTTTAAATGATTTTTTAAAAATACTTTTTCAATTCAAAATGAACCAGTTTGGCATTTAAAAACTTGTGTTGGAATGAATAGCGATTTAAACTTTTAACTATTTGGATTGTGTATTTTAATGATAAAATATATCCGCAAATAGAAGCAATTTTGTTCATCATATTTGAACAGTTGTATAAGTGATCGATTAAATAAGGTTTTGTTGTTAGTTGCACAGTACGCCTGTTTTGTATATTTTACTGCTTTTTAAAATTTATATTACGTTCCATTTTTTTACCCTTTAGATTATATTAAAATGAGACTACAAGCAAAAACAAAGAGTGTTTTCATCATACCGTCGCCCAAATTTGACATCGATTCTGAGAGCACCGTCTCAGATTCAATGTAAGGTCATAAAATACTGTTACAGTAGTAAACGGATGTAGTGACGTAGTGTGAATCAATGGGACTTTTTCTATTGAGTTTTAATTCATTTACTCAAGTAGAGCAAGTAGAGACTTCTGTTATATTTTTTTTTTACAATCTAACTTTGATCAGTTTTATGACAATCATATATTACTCTTTGTTCGGATAACTGCAAATTTTCTACTTGGCTCAGTGTTATACTGTCTGAGTGACAATTATTTCAGGGTGTAATGGATTCTTCCTTCCTGTTAATCTCTGTCTCATTTTGCTTTCTATTTTATGATTTGTCCGATATTTAACTCGCAAAATACTAATATCTTAGGTAAATCATAAGTCTTTGAAAGAAAAATGGTTTCCTCTAAGAAATCTCGCCGCTCGCCGGTGATACGGTAAGAGGTGTTTCATGGTTGTTAGTTTTTTTTGGTGAACTGTGTCTGACATTTGTCTGAAAAACAAAACACACTTTTGATTTCGATTGCTTTTTGTCATATCACTTCAATTCACAGTAGTTTATCTGATGTAACCTGTACGGTGACATTCTACTTGTTTACGTTTGAATTTGATTTTAAAAAAATTTGCATCGATCATTTTGTCTCATAGGGGTATTAATGGCACCAGCAGTTTAAATGTTTGGATATTTAGGGTGGATGCTGGCACGATTTTTAGTTTCCAATTTAATTGCAAATGTATTGACAAATATTTAGTTATAAATATCTGTGAGTGCTTAGCCATCATTTAGCGCGGTGCATGTTCATTCTATGCATTTTCCTTACATTTATCATGAAGAACATAAAGAAACCAAATAATGGATATAAATGGTTAGGAGAACATAAAACACGATAAGAGAGACCAGTACTATTAACCGGAGCTGTGCACGATCTTTTTTCTATTGGAAATAGCCAATTTAGTTATTACCACACCATTTTTTTATTGTTTTTCCATTGTAATTTCAGGTCGGAAAGTGGCGGAAGTATGAAGAACAAAGAAATTTCTAATTCGTGTAGCGTTGCCATAGGAACAAACAACGACTTCATGGACGACGACGCACAGTGTGTTTAGGACAAGTTTTTTTTTCCTTCTGCAAATTTTTAATTATGTCATCTTTTCGGCATCAAATATAAGTTAAGCTAAAATCACTGAAAGGATTTTTAATCATCTTAACTTAAAAACTCAAGAAAATGTGAAAAAAGAATAAATTCTATTTTTCATTACAAGAAAATATTATACGTAATTTTATCCTTTTTTTTAATTTTGCCTTCCAGCCTCAAAGTAACATATTCACCGGGCAAAAAAGGTGGGAATTTTGGACTTCCACTGGGTGGAAAACTGATTTTGCCGGATGGGTTGTTTGGTAAAAAGGACACAATTACATGCCAGGTGGCATCTCCTTCTTTAAGATGGAAGTATTACCCCACCCTCCCATCTTACGAGCATATAACAAGCGAAATCTACACGCTGCAATCAACGATGCATCCGCTGAAGAAAACAGTCATCGTGCAAATTCCTTACTATCAAATTGACACTGAGCACAATGAAATTAACGTCAAAGGACAATGGAGCGACGAAAGTGAGTGGGTGGATGTAGGATTTCTAAAGAAGGCAAGTTTTTTTTTAGTGAAATATGTGTTAGGCTGTCATCTTCAATCAAGAAACACGACAATATGTTGTATTAAAGAAATCTTTACCCTCCGAAATTATGGTAACAAATGGTTAGAGATGATCTTTATTGTAATACTTTATTATCCCCTTTCCCTTTCCCACTAACACCACCCATGCAGTTCACAATTCTTCCTCCATCCAATGAATTTGCACGATGTACAATTTCTAAATAAAAATTCCACAAAGTGTCGGTAATTTCAATTGAACTTTCCACCTTCTTTTGATAAATCTGACCCAGTTACCAATTTGCTCGCTTGCCAATATGGCTTTACACGGACTTATACATTGAGGCTATACATGCTTAAAATTCTCATTGTTGTTTGATCAGTTTAAACTCTTTAACCCCTTGACATGTAAAAAAAAAAAGTCCATATACGAAATTGTGGTTTCTTTAAGCTTAAAAAAACCATATTTATATTGTATTTTTAGTATTTACTCTTAAGTGGTGACAAATATTTGAAAAAAGGGATCTCATGGCTAGAGACCAATCTTCTTAATCGCTCTTTGATAGCACAGCATTGTCCTGTTGGGTATTGTCCTCTCACTTTCAAAGTATTCTGACTTTTCCACAATTCCAAAAATAGGAATGCTGTGTACATACAGTCCTTTTAGAAACATATCAACAAAGTTTAAGTGCTGGGATTATTAAATTTGAATTAAATGCCCCATATAGCAGTGAAGAGTATGCAAACATTCCCTGGTATTGTAAACTTGAATGGTAAACACTCAACTTATTGATAAATTGTACCTCCCCATTGAAAATGTACTTGTGTCTTATTTGTTTTCACTACAAGTTCACCTAACTTCATTGAAAAAAATTGACTTGTTACACGAAATTTATTTTGGAAGATGTATCATACTTTTAAAACTGGTAAAATGTTATTCTTTTACTTACAAAATGACAGAATATAAAAATGCCAAACTTGATTTTTTTTAGAGTTTGAGGAACTTTGTTTAAATTACACATAATGACATACAATGACACATTTATCATATATTAGACAGAAAAGCATTTAAAAAGTATTCAGTTTTATTGAGATGTGATTGATTTTTGTAGGGAGACTCTTCAGTAGAGCTGGAGGTAGACCGATTAGGGATATTCATCGTGACCTTTACCCCTAAAAAGGAACTGTTTGACGTCACACCACAAGGATGCTTGTACAACGCACATATAAGTCGCTACATCAGCGTGCGATTTCCAAAGAAAGCGCACGATAAACCATTTCAATGTGCAATTCAGGTGAATGCAACACACACATGCTGGTGCATTGTATATAAATTAGTAAAGAAACGAAACTAAAAAAAATTAGTCCAAAATTAATTTACTGTATTCCATCTGCTTTAACATTTGACTACTCCCCTGGATAACATGATATATAAGCAAAGAGTATCATATTTTTTAGATTTCTCCCATCCCAAGTGACAAACTCCAACTTGCAAAAGAGTTAAGCCCAGGAGAAACAGCGGACCTCGTTTTGGCCACAGAGTTTATAGATCTCATCCCAAGCGCTCCTTGTGTTTTTAAACGAGCAGTGTCCGTGAAGCTCCCTCTTCCAACGGGAGTTGAGGTTGAGGATGAACGCAGTGAAGATATTGCAGTACTTCAGAAAACGGAAAATGGTTGGGAATTAGTAGAGTCCAAATACAAATTCACCAGGACGACTGTGACATTTGATACAAAATCTCTTTCAAAGTAGGTTTTTAGTTGTTTGTAAGAAATGTGTAAAAGGATATGCAATTTACATAGAACATAAACAGGAATGTGATTAAGTTCTGTAAATTTAAGCATATAGTTGTCTATGTATATAATATTTGTGTATGCCAACACCACAATACTCACTTGCATTTCATTTAACAGGTATAGCATATGCATTAAACGTTAGGAATGTTTTCCACTAGAATTGATTCGTGCTTTCAATTTATGTATTGTCTTTCGATGAGATTTCAACAATGAGAATACGATGTGAAAATGTTTTGCAGATTTTGCGTTATGCAGTCTAAACCAGATAGACAAAAGCGACTACCTCCTGCAGCACAAGTCCTAGAGAATCGGAGCAATCGGGAAAAGGGCGAAATTGTAGCTTTCTTAAACCTTAAGGAAAAATTCTGGTTCATGGTTTTGGAGTGCATGCCATTAAATAAGCTTGAAAGTCGCGTGAAAGAAATGAGTGAAAAGGGATTCAAACACGTTGTGAAAGACATTGTCAAGAAAGATGAACCATCCAATCCATTTAGACGATCGCAGAAATTTCAACAACCAACACGACAAATACAAGTCCCACCTACCTGTGAAATTATAGATGGAATGAAATGGGATTTTTCGGTGGGAGATGATATTAAAGTGAACTCCGAAAGTAACTATTCGGAAAACAGAGAACTACACTACTTCCGGTATTTACCGGAAAGTTACCGACAGTTTGTTATAGAACCGAAAACTAACGATGAACGCGCAATCACTGGTGCAATAAACCTCGACCCTGTTGGGATTGAGGACAAAAATCTCAGAGACAATTGTACTTGTTCCATTAGAATTGAAATTGATGAGGAAACAGTGAAAGCATATTTCAAACCGGAATTCGTCCCAGAAGAGCCAGAGCCTAAAAAGGAGAAGGTCAATTTCGACATACTGAACACACCTGTGTTTAAGGAAGAGAAAACGGAAGTTCCTGCGATTCCAAAATTCAAACCCCTTCCGCCCAGCGTCATGGAACGGCTTATGAAAACAAGTCGAAAACCAATCATAAGTAAGCACTATCTCCACACTGAATTTGAAATATCCTTGGCTATAGATTTTTAGCTCTAATCACAGAAATGCATCTTGAATTTTAATTAATGCACTTTTCGTCTGTCACCTGTTTCTTCTAAAATGAATAGATTTATTGAAAGAAAAATGAGAAGTGTGTGGTGTAATATTAATGATATGTATACTTTTGGTTCACAGCAAGAGGTAAAAATTTCATCATTCTGTTTGCAAGAAGAGAAATATTGCTTATCATTTTTAGTTCCAATCTCATTTGCATGAACAACATTGCATGGTACCTGCAAATCATTTTTTAAAATATATTTTTAGTCATTTTTATTTATTGTAAAGTAAGAACACCTAGAAAATTTATCAATTATGCATGAAAAAATTGTGAATTGTCGGTAAAGGCTTTTTAGCTCATGTATTCATTTTAAGTTACGGAACCCTGCTAGATATCGAATTCGTGTTACTTACAGAGAAACACATGTGTATAGTTAGTGCTACCTAGATGCATGCTCTCAGTCTTGATGGATTACTTAATGTTACGACTATTTTTTTTTTCTAATATCTAAAACGTATTTTGGTAAATAATAACAATAATTAAATGCATGCCCGATTTTCAATTTAACAGATAATATAGATATTATATAATATATGAAACTTTCAAGACTTCTAAATCTCAAGTTTTTATAAATATACATATTTTTTTTACAGTTGAAAGAGAGTCAAAAGTCATTTCTGGAAAGAGCCTGCGCAATCTCTCGAAACTGGTTCCCGAGGGCCTGACTTTAGCAGTTCACCTTGACCTTCCAGACAGCACCATAACCGGCCTCGGTTTCGATGCCATTTCAAACGGCTTGAGCATGTCCGACGTCACATATAAAATCCTCTTATACTGGAAGCGCATGTGCAAAGATAAGAAAGATGGCGCTGTCAATTCCTTAACTAACGCACTAAGAGACATGGGGCGTGATGAGCTGGCAAATATAGTGTTCGAACGCCATCGTGACAACAAAGAATTGACACCGGATGCGTTTTCTCCCTTGTTTACTGCGTATCAATAAAAATAGACACATATTTGTAACAACCTAAACTAAATACAAGAGCAATATTTATTTTCAATATAATGAAGAAGCAATTACACATGTATACGTACGTATTACGTAACAAAACTGATGTCCTCATACTTTTTGACCTGATTTGTGCATTTCCCTTTAAGCTGTGATAAAATTTTGTTGATAAGCCGTCCATTAATTTAATATTAGAACTTCATTTCATATTTTGTATTATTTTGTATACTGTGATTATTTTTTTGTAGCAAATATATTCTGCATGCAGCATATTACAAAGTTTAATATATAATGTATGTTATTAAAAGCTTATTTGTGTAATTTGAATTCTTGATACAGTCCCTACATTTGACACAGAATACATACATGTAGCACAGTGTAAGTGAAGAGTGTTACTCAACATTTTACTTTTTTCAAAGATTTTTTTATTATTATTAATAAGAGTATGAACTTTGTTGTAATCTTAGAAACAAGAAAAAGGTGTAATCATATGTCCACCCAGAGTTGTCGTCCTTAATTGCAACTTGTTACCCCCTTTTCAAAGAAATATGACGTTTGAGTATTTCACTGCAATCACCATGTCCGTCCATATACTTCTTTAATTTTCCGAAGGTTTTCAATCTTTGTAGAATACCGTTTGAACTCGGGCACCTGGTATTTTCAGATTGATTTGTCAAAATTTAAAAAAAAAAAAAAAAGGTATCAGTTTTTTGTAAGATTTCATTGTACTTAACTTCTTAGAGAGGGATAAGAGGAGTGAAATTCTTGTTTGATTCTAGCTTTGAAACCGAGACGAGAAATTTAAAAGGTTCATACTTCATGCAAAGGTAGCTTGTGTTTCTTAATCTGTACAAAAGTATATTTTTTGTAATGTTAAAGTCACAGGCTACAAAAGTTTTTAATTATTTTGTCCCACAACTTTGAAATGGAGAAAAATTAGAAATTTGCAGAAGTCACTAGGTTGCTATTGACTTGATGGTATGTCCTGACATCTTCTCATTAAAACTTGAATAAGTTCAAAAGTTCACAATGGGAAAAAATGTTTGTCTTGGTCATAACATTTAAATAGAATGAAGGTTGTTTGTTACCAGAGGATGTGTAACAACCCTGCAGCATGGCCATTTTGACAAGTGCAATGTTATCAGGGTGTTAATAGTAAATTCTTGTTTATAACAATTCTATAATGGAATGACTTTTAATCATACTTCCCTTTGCGGTTATAATGATCTTAAGATATGTCACGACCCTGTACAAAGATCAAAGTCAAAGAATTCAAAAGTGTCAAATTCTTAAAGAAATTGAAAATATTAATTTTTCTTTTATTGCAAGCAATAGCATGTCGCCCAAAACTAATCCCAACGCTGCATTACTGGAGCTGAAAGCAGCGATATTAACACCCCTACTAATGTTATTGTGATTTAAATTCAAGACACGTGGTGTAGGTTGACCCATTCTAAGGTTATAGGGTAGAACGGGTTTTATAAATAAAATTGGCAGTAAACGGGAAATTGCTATAATCTGTTTCTTTTAAAAACATATCCTATAAAAAGGTGTTTCCAGAATTTTCTGAAAGATTTTTAAGATTTTAAACAGAAATGAGTGGGATATAAAAAATCACAACCTGCTTAATTAATCTTCGCTTTTGTGATAATTTACGGCGAAAATTGGAGCTTTACGGGTAATATCGCGTGTAAAGGACTTAGTGTGAGCTTATCTCACTAAACAAGTACTGCTAAGCAGTATTGAAAAGCGTCTTTGATTGTTCTACAAAGTCATCGGTGCTTTGTTTGATTCTCAGAATATTCACTCATCAGTCAAACACGAGATTTCTCTCTTTTTCGATCTTTCATATACCCAAACTAGGCGTTGCATAAATGGATAAACAGCAATGAAAAAAAAATTGGTCGAAAAATCCTTTGACATTATTACTGCTTTGTTTATTTAGATTCATATGAAAGAGAACAATCATATAAGAAAATGTGAATGAAAATATTCCATCCAGTCTGTTTTTTCAAAACTTTTTTGAAAATAAAAATATATTAGAAAATATGTTAATTTACACCTTATTTTCAATACCATAATGTAAAACAAAAATGGACTTCATTTTATTGATTGAAATTGCATTGTAGTGCAGAGCAATAAAATACAGTCAAATTCTTATTATGGTAAACAGTATAAATTCTCTTGCAAACAAAAAAATCCACTCATCAGTCAAAAAGAGGTGTTTATTCTTTTGGATCTTTTGCGCATACCCAAACTAGTCATTCGATAAAAAATTAAAAACAAAACAGCAACACGTAACTTTGCGAAAGTTCTTCGACTTAATTACTGATTGTTCATTTTGATTCATATCAAAGAAAACAAATATTTAAGAATATGAGAATAAAAGAAATGCTCTCTAGTCTGTTTTTGAAACCCTTTTTTTTTTTCAAAGCATAAAATGAAAAAAGTAAGTGCATTCAATCATTTTTTAAATTCAATTAAGAAAGAAAATTGACTAAGTTAATTTTGATTGGACAATTTCGCAGGCATCACAATGTATCGCATTGTATTGCAGCAGAGTGCAGTATGGTGCAATTGTACTTGAATTTAAACAAGCACAATTATTTTACTTGTCAATGTATTAGAAATATCCCCCACCATCCACCCTCCAAAGACAGCTTTTATATACAATTTGTCCTTGTGATTGAATGTTTATTTGGAAATTTGCATAATGTAAGTTTTGTTTCAAAGTTCGATAACTCAAATTATGTCCCTTTGAACAACGTAGACAAAATGATCATTAATTTCTGCTAAATATTATGTAAATGTTTAAGCAATGTTAACGAGTAACAGGCCTCTATACTATATATAAGACGTTAGAGAGACATTCACAAATGACCATGTGTTAAAGTCAGAGTAAATAACGGTAATGTCCCGTGTAAAGGACTTAGTGTGAGCTTATCTCATTAAACAAGTACTGCTAAAGGCCGGTTTACACGGTAAAGCAAGCTGTATAAACCTTGTTGTATAAAGCAAAATGTTACCGTGTGTACGGCGCTATTACACGGAATTTAAATCTCCCCGGAGTCATATATTTCAGGCGTTCGAATAGAGCGTGTCTCTATTCTGTACAGCAAGTCGTATGAGACTTTCTTTCTCTAGCCAATCAGTGGCCTGGGATTTGGGTGTGATATTCATGCTTCACTAACCACTTCATTTTTTAAAAAGAATACCTCAACCTTATTATACGTGTACATTTACATGAGTTATGGCTTGTTCAAATTTAAAATGTAGAACAATATATTTTTACTTTTCTCTGAAAAAAAATTAAACAAAATCGTATAAAATAATTAAGAGCAAATATCAGTCTTTCAATGCTGAAACCCTACTTTATAATGGATGTCTTAAAGATCCATCAAATAAATTTTTGGTTTAGCATTCCTCCTTCCGTCTATTTCAAATAGACGGTTTATTTTATATTACCGGTGGCCAAAAACGCACTGTACGAGCAAATCGTTCTGCTGGTGAAATTGAATTGCTCATTAATATGTCCCTATTCTCTATAAATGAGGATACTGCGTCCAGAAGATCATCAAAATCTGTCATATCTATTCACAGAAACTTTCTAGAAAATTTAATTAAACACAGTACTTAGTTCTTTAATATGAACATGATATGCATGTAACAACGCACTTTGATTTTTTTTTTCAAAGTGCGTTAAATTTGGGACCAAGTTAACACACTTTGAAAAAAAAAAACGTGCACGGCTTGGTCAATATATACATAATTGGTTGGATAATTTTTTGGTGATGATGTCACTTTAGGATCTGATATATAGAAGTTTTAAAGATTTTTCCAAAGGTTCTCGTAAATAATATAAAAGGAAAATGAGTCTTAAGAAATAATGGAGGAATGATTGTTTAATGGCACAATTTCGTTTATTCTTTTTTTATCCAGTCTGTAATACGTTCGGTAGATGTAGGGGTCGATAATATAAGTGACTTAAAGCATTGCATTTTTCTTAGGGAAATTATTTCTCCATACCATGAAAATCTCTCTCTCTCTCTCTCTCTCTCTCTCTCTCTCTCTCATATTCATCTATATATAGGGAACATAGATGAAACAATGGGTGACTCATTTATTTGATAGTAAGAAAATAAACCTTAGCCAAAATAATTTTCCGGCACAATATGATGGTCTTTCATAGTTATTTGATTAGTATTACTGTACATTCCTAAATATAAGCAAAGAATTAATTATCAGATAATTTCACGAGAAGCTCCACTCGCGAAATAAATTTACTTGCTTTTATTTGTATGATACTGATATCCATATGAAAATTCTTAATCAACCGTCCATTCTATTGTTCTCGTGAATTGACGTCAAAGATCCATTTCGCGAGAAATAAGGAATCTACAGTAAGAGGTACGAAAAAAATATTTATGCATTTTTTTTTATTTGTATTGTATTTGATTTTGTAAACCTACTTTGGCCAAAGTATTGTAAGTTGGCTATTGTTGCTTAGGTCAGCGATATGGCCCCTGGGCCTCTCTTCTTTAATATAATAGGGTGCGTTATTTTATTTTCCTTTTTTTTTTAGGAAAGCTTATCTCAATTTTTTTTATCTATTTTATGTTATCTCAATTTTATTGAGAGAAAATATACCAATGTCATACCAGTTATGTTAATACATATATTTGGGTAGGAAAGATAAACTGAGAAAGAACGCTGAAGACCTTCTACCCGTCTTCTCCTTCGATGAGAGTTGATCAATTCATCAGTTTTTCGAAAGAAATATAACAAAATAATGCTGTCTATTACTTAAATCTAAGTCCAGAATTTTTGTTTGATACATATTTTTCAAAGTGCGTTAAGTGTCTCCATGGTAAAAAAATTGTTAATGTACACTCTTAACGCACTTTGAAAAAAAATTTCAAAGTGCATTGATTTTGTCCCAATTTTAACGCACTTTGAAGAAATTTATCAATGTGCGTAATTTTTTCAGTGCGTTAACGTTGCCACATATGCACCATAGTAGTCTCTCCTACCGATCCATTGTCTGACCCGTCCTCTAGATTTCCTTTTTTGGTACAAATAAATGCAGTGCAAATGAAATTATCAAAATGTACATTAAAATAACTGTCTTCCTCTTCCTGTGCTTCCATGTTGATAAAATGAAAAAAAAACCGTACTTCTTCAAAGGGGCGTTTCATTTGTTTAAATAACAGTAGAGTGGAATGTAAACCTGTTTGACCATGTAGACACTAGAGGAATATATTACAAAAGTTGTATACGACAAGTTGTATACGACATGTATTACCGTGTAAACCGGCCTTAAG